TCTCACGGTTTGCGAGTTCGAGCCCTGGGGTCAGGCTTAGCACTGGTAGTGCAGAGCCTGCTGGGGATTCTGTCTCTCTTCTCTCTCTCTGCCCCTCCCCTGCTCATGTGCTCTGTTTCTCTCTCTTTCTCAAAATAAATAAATGAACTTAAAAAAAAATAGAATCGCACTAGAATGTTCTATGACTTTTTTTTTTTCCATGTTACTGTATGTCTTAGGGATCTTTCCAAGTTAGTATATACAGCTCTAGCTCATTCTTTTAAATGGCTAAATGATATGCCATGGTGTGGGTGGACCCTAATTTATTTGACATTGATGGATATTAGACTGTATCCAGTGTTTTGCTTTTTCAAACCGTGTCTCCGTGAACAGCCTCGTGGATATGTTTACTTTACTGAGGTGAGATTCACACGGCATAAAATTAACCATTTTAAAGTGACTATCCGGTGGCATTTAGGGCACCCCCAGCGTTGTACAACCACCCCCTCTAGCTAGGTCCAAAACTTTTCATCACCCCAAAAAGAAATCTCTTACCCATTAAGCAGTCACTCCCACTCTCCCCTCTCCCGAGCCCCGGGCAACCACCAATCTGCATTCTGTCTCTATGGATTTACTTCAAATATTTCATGTAAATAGAAATCATACACTGCGTGACCTTCTGTGCCTGACTTTTTTTTCACTTCGCATTATACTTTTGACATTTATCGTGATCGTAGTATGTATTAGCATGTCATCCCCTTTTATGGCTCAACAGACCACAATTTGCTTACCCGTGCACTCACCGATGCGCTGCTGATACGTCTTTGAGCTCATAAATAACTAATGCTCACTGAACACTTACTATGTGCCTGGGACTGTTCTATTGCTTTAAATGTGTAAACTCATTTAATCCCACAGCAGTCCTGTAAGGTAGGTCCCTTATTCTACCTCATATCCCCAGTCCCAGACATCACTGACCCACTGAATCCACCAACTCTCAATTTGCCTACCTCCTGACTTCTTATGCTACATAATATAGCACTCACTGCTTACGCCACTTTGTTTTTTTGGTTTTTTGTTTTTAATTTTTTTTTTCTTAATGTTTTTATTTATTTTTGAGACAGAGAGAGACAGAGCATGAGCAGGGAAGGGGCAGAGAGAGAGGGAGACACAGAATCGGAAGCAGACTCCAGGCTCTGAGCCATCAGCACAGAGCCCGATGCGGGGCTCGAACTCACAGACTGTGAGATCATGACCTGAGCCGAAGTCAGACGCCCAACCGACTGAGCCACCCAGGCGCCCCTGCTTATGCCACTTTGAATGAATTAGTCTGTTTCTTGGAGCCAAGAGCACTCTAATTTGTCTATACTTCCTACCCACCTCCCATCCACCTAGACCCTAAGTTCTATGAGGGCAAAGGCTGTGTCGTTTGAGTTCAGCAGCTCTGGGAACAGTGCCTGGCACACAGGAGTGCTCGACAAATATTTGTTGAATGATGGATTAATCAAGTGTTTTGAAATTGAAACTAAGGACATGACTGTTTTTGGTATGAGTATTGTTGAGAAAGTCGTCGCCATCATCGTCGTGGGAGATGGAACCCAAAAGACAGGTGGGTGTCCATTTGGTGAGAAACGGCACTCATGCAGAAGGAAAAGTCTAAGCAAGCCCTGGAGCTGTGAGCACATGGCCCATGGTTCTGGCACCAAGGAGTGGTCTTATGTAAACTGAAGAAATGGAAACGGCAGGAGATGAGGTTGGAAAGGTTGGCTCAGATGCCAGAGTCTAAGGAAGGCCATGCTGAAGAATTTGGGCATTCTCCTCAATGGCTGGGGGTCACTGAAGAGTTCTAGGCAGGAAGATGGTGTCTAGATCAGCAGCTTAGAAAGATCCATCTGGATTGGATGCTGGCAAGCCTGGAGACAGGAAGACCAATTAGGAGATATATTTATCAGGTCCTTTTTTGTTGCAGTTGGCAAAAATCCAATTCAAATGGCTAAAAGTGGAATGTCTGAGCTCCATGACCCCAGGAAGGGCAGATGCATCGTTGGGCTTTAGGAACACCTAGAACCTGGGTCCGGATCACTGCCAGGCCTCCCCTTGGCTGTCCTGGTCTCAGTCCC